AGCATCAGCCAAACACAAGGTATCTGCTTTACCTAAATAACCTTTAAGCAACCAGGACATCTGACAAGAAAAGTTGGCTTGATTACAATTTTTTTTTTTAATCAATAACATTATTCATTAGGCTTGCTGCTCTTGACTGTCAGCTCTGAACACATCCCTAACTATTCGAACGCTGTTCAAGCTGATGCATGTACCGAACCCAAGAGAAAAAAACTTGCATTTGGAAATAAGATCTTACCTTTTGTTCCTCCATGATACTAGAAATTATAGTATGCCAGAGAGGACAATCGTGGAAATAAAACTAGCTCATTATTTGTCCTACATACAGCTTAGCCCTAAAAACTCGCAACTGACATTCACCATTAAAGCACTGCAGATTATCAAAGTGAATTGATTTTGTTGATTTATTCATTTTCATGTTGAAGTGCACAAGACCATTCTAAAATCAGAAAACCTGTTTACAGGTAATAGCTTATATTAACTTTTTTTTTTTTTTTAATGAAGGAAATAGTAAAATACCTTCTGCTGCTTTTAATTTTCATCTTTTGACCTATGCAACACCCACACTGAACCGTGAATTCTCCATTCCCAGTACATGCAATCATTTAGCTAAAAAACCAAAACACAACACATTATGCAACTATCCACAAACCAAGACAACTTGCTTTTTGATGCACTGCTGAAGGCCAGGAATGAGGACTTCCATTCCCAACCTCTTGAAGAGGTTCGGTGTTTGCCACTCAGAGCACAGGACGCCAGCTTACGTACTCAGAGTACGTACGTACTCAGAGTACATACTCAGTCCTTTAAAACAAAAAATAATAAAAAATGGTACTAGCAATGTGCTAAAATCTAATGCTACAGTCTGCAAGAGCAAGCTGTAAGGAAACTGTCCTTAATATGATGAGTGAAATAAAAATCTGATCTAAGAAACGTGTCCTTATTCTTCCACTCAACTGCAAAGACAAGTCAACCAACACCAGTCTGAACAGGCAACTGTCTGCAAGACTCAAAAAAAAAAACACTTTTAATAAAGATCTTTCAAAGCCACCAATTTGTTACCTAGATCTAGATGAATACAGTAGCAAGATTAGATAAGAGATCTACAGGGAGGAGCAAATAAATTACTCTAATTACTATTTGATGACAACTGTGGCTGAAAGGATAGCTTTTACTTCTGAAATGTGAGCATCCTCCTTTGCAGTGTAAATTTACTCAGGTAGAAGAGAATTAAAAAACAACCTGACGTTTGTTTCTCTCTTCATAGCAATAGTAAGTGGCATTCAGTCCAAAAGAAGTGCCTCAAGACCAGCACTGAAGGAAAGCAGGATATTACCAAAGTAGCTAAGAGGCTTTAAAAGCTGAGCAGGTATGAAGAAAGAAAAGCTCCATTTGCATGCCAGACGATAGGCATGATTTTACTTTCAGTGATGTTTTTGATAAATGCTAATACAGATGATCTCACACACAACTGTATCCAAGCTGTGGGATCCAATCTATGTCCCAACACACCCCTACAGACAACTGGTTGATCTACACAAGTCTTTCAAAATAATGTTTACCTTCTTTTCTTGCAGCACAGTTCCTCCTCATTTTCAGCGCCCTTTGCCCCCTCCCTGACTACGCAGTTGGCATTTCCTGGCGCTGCTGCTTAGAAGAGCCATAGGGTTCCTACCCTTATTCAAGGACGTATCTTATCAGGCTGATTAATGCCTAACTGCCTAACAACCTGCTCACAAGAGGTTTCCCCATTGTTTCTTAAAACGTGCGTTACTTCAGACTCCAGTTTCGCCCAGCTTAACAGGATCCCCCTGGAGAAGTGCTACAAGGAGGCGGCGGAGGAGCCTTTTTCTTTCTAGCTGCCGATTCCAGCTAACCAGAAAATACAGGGAACGCCACACACTTAGTATTTTAAGTCAGCAATCACCTTAGAGACTGATATTTAGAGTCTGTCTCCAGCTTTGGGCCTTTTAAGGCAATCCTACCCTCTAAACAATTCAAAATGCACTATTTTTGCAGTCACCTATACAAACCCTGGACTCCTTGCCATACATACGTAAGTTTCTATTCATTTATGGGTAATGCACATAAAGAGGCAGCCACGGCCTCTGGGCAGGGCAGCCCTGTCACCCAGTGCCCCTTCCAGCCCAGCAGAGGCAGCTCGGGGCCACCTCAGCCGCAGAAAGCTGCAGGAGCCATTTGGGTGAGGGCTCCAGCCCCAGGACAGGGCAGCAGCTGAAAGCAGTCGCGGCACCAGCCGTCCGCTCTGCATCTACCAGGGTACAGCGACAGATCTGAATTTTAGCTAGAAAACAAACCCCATTGCCCAATTTCCCCACCATACGGTGCCACGGGCAGTAGAGTTGCGCATAGCAGCACGGACGTGGGTAAGCGATACGGTAGGAGAGAAATGCTCCCACTTTCATATGCAATCACAGCCCACACAATGTAAGAATGCATTACCCAGTAAAACTGAAAAGAAGGCAAAAAACGCCTCACAGTTTGCTTTTGTGTTTGTTTTTCTTTCTTTAGCCCCACTGCACTAAATATTTGCCAATGCATACGCTACCCATAGGTCTACCTCAAGGTCACTGGCAGCCTGAGCACACTGAAGCCTGTACTTACGGCTCCCTCTCCTCCCATCACAACTTTTCATAGCAACATTCCTGGTTCCAGAGCAAATTTAGGAAGTATACAGAAGCAATTTAAGAAGGTTTAAAAATGTATATACATGTCTATGTTTGTATGTGTGTACAGACGTGTTTATATACAAACATGCATTTTTATGCACACATAGGTATAGGTATAACCCCATAGTAAAACAGCAAAGTAAAACTGTTCTTTCCATATTCTTCCGTCTCATTTTATAGAAGAGAAAATTCCCGCTTGCTTTGGGGACAGTTTATTTTTTACCCTGAAGACCAATCCAAAGAGACCATAAAAGACAATGACGACGTAGCACCCAAATTTATCATGCAACAAAACAGACATTTTTCTTCTCACAGAAAAAGAAAATATCCGTTTGGAAAATGAACAGCTGAAATTCAATCCAGTCAGAAAGGCTGTCCTGGAGAGAGTGTGGTTGAACTTTGTTTAGACAGCACAAGACCACCTTTAGCCTGCTGTCTCAGGATGTCTGTGTGCTGACTTTCTAAACATGTATCTATCTGTACATTAAGGGAGAGCTCCTTAAAGAAGCACTGTTTTGTTCACTAATACAAGGAACAAGCTACCTGTTGTGGGGATCCATCAAATGAAAACCATGCAAAATATGATGTTCCCTAACCTGAATTTGTTCTCCAAAAAACAACAACAGAAGGCAATTGCATCCTCCTCCTGTAGCAATACAAAGAGATACGGGTAGAGACAGTGCCCTAAATGGAGGCCTAGAATTACCCTAAAGCAGCAGACCTTGCAAAAATGGCTCCAAGCAGGAATCTGCAGAGCCATCTTACTCCCAAATACCTGTCTGAGAGTTCACCTTTTTTTTTTATCACCTCCAAAAAATAAATAAATAAATAAATAAATATTTATATATATAGAAACCACGCCTATCACCATATTGATAAACACTCTTTGGAACCACTCTGATGGCTTGAGTAAGAACAGGAGTATAGTGCTATTAGTTCCTCAGCACTTCAGTTTCCAGAAAATCTGGAAAAAAAAAAAAAAAAAAGCCAGAAGACTTTGCTCAGCTGCAAGTTAGGCTACCTACAGGAATGCCCTACTCTGTGCCAAGACCACCCAAAGTCTGCCCACTTCTGAATTTCTGGGAAGATGCACTGGATAGTAGCATACAATCAGACAAGCTCCTGCATGTTCAGAAAGCTCAGCAAGTGCTCAAACACAACGGAAGTTGAGCAGGGAAAAAAAAAAAAAAAAAAAGATAAGGAAATTGGTACAGTGATCCAAATCCTGCAGCCTGAAGCAGAACTGTCTGATGTTTTCCTGATCTGGTGAAAAAAGGTACTGCTAAGTCAGAACAGGAAGGGTAAAGAAGAGAAAACAAGCCCTCCAACACCAATTGTCAGGGGAAAAACAGATGAGAAGTGGGCCTGAAAGTTCTCATGCAAAAAGCAAAGGCCAAATTAGGCATTTTCAGAAGCAAATCAGTGAGCGGTGCAGATCTACCTACCTACTGCCCAGTCAGAAGTGTCTATTATTAATCAACTCCAAATCATTATCTCTCTGTTTATGTACAGATAAATAAATAGCAAGTGCAAACGACATGATCTTCTGTGAAATTTTGTTCTGCCTGTCACGCTCGCTATTGTGTTGCTGAACAAAGGCATTCTTGGCTATCAGGTATCAAGACCACATGGTACACTGTATTAATCAAGCTTAATTATTAATCTGTGCAGCCAGGATTTCTGGAATCTATCCATCCACTATTACTATTTCAGTCTGAAGTTCATTACCTGATGGCAAATAAGAGTACTGTAAATTTTTTTTTTTTTTAATCTGAATACAGCACTGGTGCCTCACTGGTCAACTCACATCATGTCCATTTGTTCAACTTTATAGTTTCTTCATGCAGCTAGCTTTAAAGACATTTTTACCTATCAAACCAAAGGAATCAAACTTTCCATACAAACACTAACACCATGAAATTAAAGATGGTATAACCTGTTAATGGGCTTATTTAAGCGTAAGTTTCTTCACCTGTTCATTCTTCTACTTTAATCCACACTTGGTTAGAAGTAATTTTCAAGTTAGTGTTAGCAGCCTTTTCCTCTCCTCTGTTATTAAGCACTTAACTCCAAAAAAAAATACCTCCTGCAACCACAAAAGACTAATTCTGGTGAGCTTGGTGAGTTTCTGCTCCCACCCCAAACCGTTTCCAACTACTTCAGGGGTATATTCCCTCGGAGAAACAACAAAACGAGCTCTAAAACATCAAGATACTGATCCCTTTTAAAATTCATTGCTCAGAACCGCCACTCATCATATGAGGTAAACCAGATACCACAGGAATTACTGTAAAGCTCAGCAAACCTTACTTCTGGCAGCGGGCTGGCCGGTTTGGTTAGGATTCCTCCCACATAAACAACATTTGGTAGCGTGGGTCTTGGAAACTCCAGTGCTACATCAGTACAAAGCATCCACAGGCTGGATCCATGAACCAAGTCATACATGGACCGTTCTGGCGTAACCTTGTATTTCTGCATTATCCTTTCGTATTTTGGCAGAACCAAAAAGCTGACTCCAAATCTTGAAATAAGATACACAACAGTATTTTTAATCCTCTCAAATAGGTTCATGTGATCTGTGAGCAGCGAGTTAAACTCTGGAACGTAAGAGAGGGGAGCTGGAGCACCCACTTCTGCTGGATACCAAAGGCCAGTGGAAAAGACGGCGTACTTAACCCCTAAAAGGTGAGCTATAACAAATCCACACATCTCATTGGGATCTACCAGGAGCAGGTCAAATTTTTCCTGTTTCAGGGTACGCATGAGGTTTTGGTTGCCAACAATCATGTCACAGTTCTTGGAATAGTGGTCCAGGATATCAAACAGTTCCAGGGCCGTCAGTCTCCCAGAGAAGATACTCCTCATCTTGGACTGGAGAAAGTCATCCGAGGTGCTGCTGTTAAAGATCCCTGGGTAGCGCTGAAGTCTATAGTGATTAGATGGAGGAATCTCTCTGCCCTCAGAGAGGAGAAACACTGTCTGGTGACCTTGGTCATGCAAGGCTGAGGCCAGAGTCTTAAAAATATAAAGATGGCTTTCAAACATAATTGGCGGCACGACAACGATTTTGGCAGCCCTTGCTATCCCAACAGCGCTCCACAGGAGGATGAAAGCTGGAGTGTACGGCTTCATAGCTGAAACAAAAAATAGAAGCATTACATCAACAGAAAACAGGTTGGCACATCACCTGGGAATTAGGGGGGGAAAAAAAGTTACGTAATACAACTCAGTAGACCCATGAAAGCTAATCACATCTCCCTATCTCAAAAATATCTTTGCAACAGTCAAGGGGGAAGAACAGAGCCACTAGGCTTCAGAATACATTTGGTTGTGCTCGTTTTCCAGCAAGGTCTGCCTTTTTCCCCCCTTCCTCCCTTTCCATCTGGAACAGAGAGTAGATGAGACTTCTTCCAGCACAGACATCGATAGGGCACCTGCACTACAGGCAGCGAGGCTGGTACCCTCCACAGGGATACTGCGCACGTTGCTTCTGAATTATACACGCAATCCAACAGCTACAAGATCTTGTAGTCAGCTCAGAAAGCCAGATCCTGCTACGTTCGGGATTATACTTAAAATCACAACTGCATTACTGTCATCGTGATATACTGAGCGAATTAAGCATTCTTAAAAGACACCATACGTGAAGACCCAAAGGCTAGAATTCCTCATTTATTCACACATCAGATCCAAAGGATGAACGCGTCATTTATTACTCCTTTCAGCACAGGATATAACACTTTTACAGATACATTTCAGTCTCGCACCCTCAACTGGAACTTCTAATATGACAATTCTTGCTTTTAGTTTGTGCTCCCTGTACTGCGACCCACACCCCCTACCGCTGACGTGGTAGCGCTTCTGCTGCAAGTGCTTCTGATGGGTGCCCGCTGCCTTCAGGCTTCCATTCTGATGTAAGGACAGCGTTTTCTGATGTTTTATTTTCATATAAGCTAATAAGAACTACGAAGATAGGTTTTTCCTCTAAAAGGACGTGGAAATTCAGGCAATGTTTTTCTTGGTTAGTGTAACACTGCTCGGCCACATCGGGATGGAGAATCGAGATCTGGCAGGGAGATGTTACCAGTAAGAACCAGTGTGATTACTTTCATCTCTCAAAAATCGCACTCTGGGTATGAGAACAAATGAAATAAAGGGAGTTATACCACGTACATGAACATCAGCCTCCACTGAGGCACTTCTACAAGTGCTGGACTCTCCAGCTGCTTTAATCGGCACTTGCACAGACGTTCAGGCATGAACTCCAGCCTACACCACAAACGTCTTGACAGTAGCGGGCTTCAAGGGAATGGGCAAAGAATTTTCCTTGTGTTTTGGCGAATAAAGCCAGATGAGAACAAAGCATATGAAAAGCACGGAGAGGGCATGTCAGAATGCCCCTCAGTCACATTAACCCTCCTGTATTAAGTACAGGGAATTGAGGACAAGCCAAACCAAACAATCTGCTCTTGTCTCGTGCCAAACCAAATCCATGTGGAAACAGGAGTCTGTTGCGGTGTCCTTTAGAAATAAGCAGCACAGAAACTGATAATGCTACTACTCAGGCCTTGTTATCTCCTCACAGTGTTCTCCTGTAACCCTCCTACAGATTGCTTAGTTTTTTGTTTCGTTGTTTGTTTTTTTTTTTTGGTAATGTTAGGTGGGTTACCAGCTCACCAAAAGAGCACCTGAATTGTATTGCTGCAATCTAACGTGGGTCTTTCTGAATTATGTCCCATTTTTTCCCCTACTCCAGATTCTGCAGCTTGCTTGACTTTGAAGCTTTTATAAGCATGCAGAGCCTAACTTAAGGCTGCAGAATTACGACAAGGTACACAGATTATATTTAGATCAAATTTCTCGTGTAATAAGTCTTCTTCCTGTACTTGAAACCTGTCCCACGCTTGCCTTCAGAGAGCATTACCACCACCTAGGAGATTACTGACCAGCTCTTATGAAAATCCTCCCAACTTATTACCACCAGCAGCCGTGTGCCTGTGCACACAGGTACACACAAGAAAGTTCACACAGGCAAAGAGACTTTTTTTTTCCTCCTTTTGCTGTGAAAAAGCCCACACCAGGAAGAGGCACAGTAAAACCTTACGGTACCCAAGAGCAGGTGGTAAAGAACTGAAGCACGGAGAATTCACTGAGATCCCCCCACCACAACACATCCACGGGCTGAAGTACCTCTGGGAAGAACTTGGAGAAGTTTTGCTGTTCCTAGACACAAAGCCCAATTTTACCAGGATAACACTTCAGGGGAAGAGAGAGGAAATTCCTTGCTGCAAATATTACCAGCGGCTTTCAAAACCTTTGCTACGCTGCATTCTTGCCTGACATCGGATGAGATCGAGTTGTTTGCTAAGCTGCCTCAATCAGGGTGCCAGAGGTGACCCTAAAACACCTCCTCCCCTGCAACAGCAGTAATTAACATCAAACGAAACAATAGCCCTGTTCATTCTCCAACAAAGTCCAAAAAAGCATTCTTTCTACATGAAAAACAGCTTGCCTCTCCATTTTTTTTTTTCTTAAGAACTATTAAAGCTTTGACAAAAAATGAACGATGACACCAACGCTGAGAAAAAAGAGTCCAGTACTGCATGGCTGCATTACTTCTCCTTGGTTACACTTCCAGCACAAATGCTGGACCTCACAGACCAATTAAAGCATTAAATTGCCGTTTGGGTCCAGGCCTTGGCTTTCACTGGAGGCTTTCTAAAAAACCACAGCACACCACGAGGCTCAGCTGCCCTCCCAGGAGCTCCCCATTGAAGGATGTGACTACCCAGGCCCCTGCTAATTACCTCACTGATCACCTTGTTTCGTTCCCAGCTGTGGGGCTGGCAGATTTTACACAGCAGCAGGGGGCTGTGCTGGGGAAGGATGAGCCCAAAGGATGATGGCTATCACCATCAATGCCACTGGAGGAGAGCGTGCACTATGTCAGCTTGGTTTTAAATAAAAATGGTTTATCAATGAAATATGAAAGTGATGAGTCAAACTTGGAAAAGACACTATTGATTACACCTCCTCGTGCTAGAAGCATTCCCATGATCTAACTTACTGCTTCTGTCAACAACAGGGATGTTACAAAACCGTAGATGGATTGGGAAATGCAGAAAGAGTTGATGTTTCTGAGATCCCTGTAAATCAGAGGTATCAGAAGCCCCAGGGCACGCGGTGACCCAACAGGCTGCCAGCTGCAAGAGCCCCACTTTGATCTCCTGACCTGACGCAGGCTCCGAGCACAGCACGTCCTAGTGAGCACGCGGGTACAATCCTTAGCCCTAAGGCGCATTTTCCACTGCTTCATCTCTGCACATGCCACCGAAAGCCACCCAGAATTACCTCCGCACTTCCTTAGGATGCTGTCAGTATCACACCACCTCTCCCGATCCCCACCCTCACTGCACGGCGCTGCCTCACATGAGAGCACGTCGAGTGACTTCATCTTTATGAGCCTCCCATAAAGCACGAGCTAGCTAACATGTAAATCTGTCACCAGAATTACAAGCAGCTACGAAACACTAGTTTTTCCTCTCCTGCTGTGCATCGATGGTAACAGATGACACTCCTCTCTAGAAGCCTCTCAGCACCTTCACTAGTCAGAACCGATCCAAAATGCTGTTGCAGAGTTCCCCTTTCCAATGCAAGCATCTTCCACAGGGACAAGAAAATATACGTACAGGGCCTGCCAAACCACAGAGGTAATAAACACCTGACTCTATAGAGAAATGCCCAATAAGGGACCCTTTTTACTGGAAGCAATGGCATTGACCTCATATTGCACTCAACCAAAGTCTCCACCTGTGGTGGGAGCCCCCAGGATGCAGCCTAGTAACTTCATCCCTTGGCCAGGAGCTTGCAAGGTCTGCATCGAGCAGAAGCAAGGGCAATATGCACTCAGTTCACCAACTAACCATGCTCCCAATTCCCATTTTGCGGACCAGGTAGCAGACACTGAGTGAGGCACCCCCGGCAGCAACACACAACCCAGTGCGTTCAGCTCCCTGCCATCAGCCAGGGGTCCTCTGGAGACCTGAGGTACTCCCAGCACGACACAGAGAGCTGCTGATGCCCATCTCGATGGGAATCTCCAACCCGTCTCACCTCCGAGAGCCACAAGGCTCATTTCAATGCCAGCCCATCGAAACCGGAGCGCTCCCCCTGCAACCCATCATCCACAAACTCCCAGAACCATCGGCAAAATATCTAAAAGGGATCAGCATCCAGCACCACTGCGTTCTGCTGCAAGGGATCCTGTGAAAAGGAATGGTCAAATGTCTGTATAGTAGGAATGAAAAAAAAACCACAAAGCCAGAGGGTGACATTTCTCCATCAGAGTTAATAGTAGAAAAAATGTCCTAAATCTTTCTGCCTAGAATTTGCCTGCATAGAATAAGATTTCCTTCTGGTGGCATATGCTAGCCTCTTAAAGCAGAAGGCATAAAAATGAGAAGGAACAAAACTCAATTTTATTTTTTTAAATACTTAAGACAATTACCACGGAATGAAACCATTTACTCCTCTAAGCCAAAAAGCAAGAAGAGGTGTGGAGAAAAAGGAGACGTAAGGAGCAGCTTTATACAAGTAAACGCAACTGCTGTCTGTAGAGAGCTCAGCTCTTGGAAGAAGTTAAAGAAACACCAAGAAGTTAAACATTAAACCTATTCCAATGGCTTCTCATAAAGTTAATGGCTTGCATGTCGTTCTTCAAATGAAAGAGAAGGTACAAGTTTTAATGTGGGCTGCAGAAAACCAAGCACCTACGCAGAGGACTGTTGAAGGGATGTTTCCAGCCGATTAAGAGTTCTAACTCCTGGTTTATTTTTACTTTAACAGAACACGTTACTATTCACCCAGAAAGACAAAGCGGGACTGAGAACAGGAAATGTGACTGTGCAGATAAGAAGTCCGCGTTTTATTCGTGAAGGCCCTATACAGAAAAATTTGGAAACACAGAAAGAAATGGGGTGATATTTAGGTTCGTATGAATTACACAAAGAAGTCCTAATGCTTAAATTAGTATTTTAAAAGTGAACTAACACTACGTTTGTATTTCAATCCTAAAAAATATTTTTAAATCATCCTTATTCATAATTTATGCAACAGCCAGTTACAGCACTGAAAT